TCTTTGGGAAGCAGGCCAATGCTCTAACCGCTGAGCAGACTGGCCAGAGCTTATTGACTACATTTTTTAAAATGTGTAAATATAAAAAGTATGAAAAGCCCTGGGCGATGTGGCTCAGTTGGCTCGAGCATTGTCCTGTGCACAAAATTGTCTCGGGTTTGATTACCGGTTGGGCCACATACCCAGGTTGTGGGCATAATTCCTGGAGGTATGGAAGGCAACCAATCAATGTCCTCCTCACATCGATGTGTGTGTGTCTCTCTCTCTGTCTCCCCCTCTCCCTCATTTCTCTCTAGATTCAATGAAAAACATATCCTCAAGTGAGGATTACCAAAAAAATATGAAAGTAAAAAGCATAAAAGTCACTGATTAAGTCAAAAGACAAATGTGAGAAAACATATTCTATGCATATGGTAAAAGATTCATAAACAAGATAGAAAGAAAATTTACACATTGAAAAATGACCCAAAAGAAAAATTGACACTATATATAAAGGCAGCTTACAGAAGAAGGTGAGAAAAGATGCAACATGTGAAATGCTGCTCAACTGCACTTTTTAAAATACAAATTAAAACAGGACACTTTGTCAAACCCGGCTGTGAGTGGCTCAGCGGTTGAGCATTAACCTAGGATCCAGGAGATCAGGTTCAATTCCCGGTCAGGGCACATGCCCAGGTTGTGGGCTTGATTCCCAGTAGGGAGTATGCAGGAGGCATCCAATCAATGATTCTCTCATCATTGATGTTTCTCTCTCTCTTTCCTTCTCCCTTCCTCTCTCTGAAATCAGTAAAGATATATATATATATATTTTAAAAAAGACACTTTGTCAAAAGCAGCAAAGGTAAGCCTCTCAGGATGTGGTGCCTCACACTTTGCTGGTGGGAATGTGAACTCCCCAACTTTTTGAAGGTTACCATGATACCATTAAAATGTAATAGAAAATACAAAGACGTAAGGACAGGCAAATGGGTGTTGGCTGCAGAATTGTTTGCAGTCGCAGAAACATGGGAGCTCTGTGAGGGGGATGGGTGAATAAATTATGATCTAGATACATGACAAATTTTACACAACTTTTAGACAACCTATGGATCTTCTGAAGGAATATTTTAAAAATAGAAAAATCCAGTTGCTGAATAATGTGGTACATCCTGTTTCCAGACTGGAACACCCTCCAATCCTCTCACTAGCTGTGTAAGTATGGCCCAAGTGAAGTGCTATACACCCACCCAGAGGGGAGGGCTGTTAGAGGGATGAGGCGCGGGATGGGGGAACATACGTATGTTTTCCACAATGAGCATTATTATATTTGCTTTGTATAAAAATTTCAAAGGTTAACAAAAGACACCTCCCCAAAACCCCCACTATAATTCAATTTTATTCAAATAATTGTTGGAAGAGCTGCAGCACTTGGGTGTTTCTCTCTCTGTGTCCCTCTCCCTTCCTCTATAAATAAATAAATAAATAAATAAATAAATAAATAAATAAATAAATAAACAAACAAAAAAACCTTAATGTGGTCTAGCAGAGAGTGGTGGGTGCAGAAGTCACCTTCCTTCCTTGTTCCAGTGGCCTAACTTGTCAGCATAAACTAGACCAGGGTCCCCAGACATCTGAGTTGCATAGGAATAGTTTCCCCAAAAGTTTTACCAACAACATGGGGTTTCTGAATCTTTAATTTACCAAAGCAAAGTTTTTGTTTTGTTTTTTAATTGTAACTATTTTATTGATTTTTTTTTTTTTTAAGAGAAAAGGGTAGAAACATCAATGTGAGAGGAGATATGGATCGGATGCCTCCTGCACGCCCCCTATTGGGGATCAAGCCTGCGACCTGGGCATGTGCCCTGACCAGGAATATAACCAGCACAGAATGATGCCCAACCAACTGAGCCGCACCTGCCACGGACAAAGTTTGTCCTTTCTTTTTTTAAAAAAATATATCTTTATTGATTTCAGAGAGAGGACGGGAAAGGGGGAGAAAGAGACAATGAGAGAGTCGTCATTGATCAACGGCCTCCTGCATGCCCCCAACTGGGGACTGAGCCTGGAACTCGGGCATGTGCCCTGACCAGGAATTGAACCTCCATCTCCTGGATCCTAAATCAATGCTCAACCGCCGAGCCACGCTTGGCCGGGCACAAAGATTTTCTTAAGTCTAATTACAATCTATTATTATCATTTCATAAAGAAAAGTCATTTTCAACAGTCTCAGAACTCTTTGTCTCAATTGACCATTTAAATTTAACAGCAAAAGACTGGTTAATGATTACAATGCATTGTAAAACATTCAGAAGGAAAGGAGAATGTTTTGTGGACCATTTGGTTCATGTGTGTGTGGCAGTTTTTAAGTTATTAGTTTTTAAAATCAGTACTTTTTAATGGAAATAACTTGACCAAAAATCTGCCATAGAATTTTGAGACCCATTAAAACAAAGTTCAGTGAGGAAAAAAAAGTCCTTTTCCAACTAAAAGTAGGAAGTACATACACTCAAAATTATGCTTAAAGGTTAGTTTAGTTTAGTTTTTTAAAGTTCAGCAAGTAGTTCTTATTTATCCTGCCCCCCCTTTTAAATATGTTTTATTGATTTTAGAGAGAAAGGAAGGGAGAGGGAGATAGAAACATCATCAGTTGGTGCATGGGGTGATGCTCAATCCACTGAGCCATCCCAGCTGGGCTTATTTATTCCCTTTTGATCTGGGCAAATGAGTGCTCCTGTCTAAGGCTGTGGGCACTTGTGAACCAGAGGATGAAGGGCACTCAGGGCTCTTGGACTACACTAAGCCAGGTATAAGGTCCAGTCACATTAGAGCATGAAGACCAGAGCAAATTCCTGGCCCTTTTCCAAGGGATAATGATAGAGGGTTACAGGGGCTGAAGATGGCTGCCAGAGCAGGAGGCTCCAAATGTTATTCTCTGATTTGAGGGCTCCTTTGGGCACCCCTCATTAGTTGATCTGGCAGGTGGGAGTGAGGCTATCCAGGGTCCCTCCTCCTACAGAAAGCAGCCCACTCTCCTTGGCTCCTCCCTGTAGTGACTTGAGCAGGGGTGAAAGAGGTCTAACATGTCTAAAATTAGAATCCCAAGAGGACAGGAAAGAGAGGAGGCAGAAAAAATATGCGAAGAAATAATAGCCAAATATTATCTTGATTGATTGATTGATTGATTGATTGGTTTTTGAGAGAGAGAGAGAGAAACATTGATTTGTTGTTCCACTTATTTATGCATCATTGGTTGTTTTTTGTATGTGCCCTGACTGGAGATGGAACCCACAACCTTGGTGTATTGGGACGACACTAACCAACTGAGCTACCCAGCCAGGGCACGAAATATTCTCAAATTTGGTGAAAGACATTAATTTACAGATTCAAGCAGCTCAGTGAACCCTAAGAAGAATCAACAAAAAGAAAAACACACCCAGGCATATCATAGTTAACTACTGAAAACCAAACTTGAAGAGACAAGATTAAAAGCAGTCAGAGAAAAATGACTTTCCAGGGATTGACAGTTTGCATGACTTATGACTTCTCATCAGAAGCCATAGAGGTCAGAGGACAGTGGAATGTCATCATTTTCTGTTTTTTTGTTTTTAATCTTCACCCAAGGATAGGTCTATTGATTTTTTAAAAAACATTTGTAAAAATTGATTTTACAGAGAGGAAGAGAGAGCGAGATGTGAGAGAAACATTGATCAGTTTCCTCCCATACACACTCTGACTGGGGATCAAACCTGAAACTTGGGTATATGCCCTGAATGGGAATCGAACGTGCCACCTTTTGGTGCACAGAACAACGCTCAGACCAACTGAGTCACCCAGCCACGGCCTGAATGTCATCTTTAAACTGCTGTAATAAAGAAAAAAACTGTCAATCCATGATTCGATATCCAACAAAAACGTCCTTTAAGAATGAAGACAAAGCCCTGGGTGGTGTGGCCTAGTTGGTTGGAGTGTTGTCTGTGCACCTTGTGCACCAGAAGGTTGCAGGTTTGATTCCTGTCAGGGCATGTAGGTTTTAGGTTCCACCCCTGGTGGGGCGCGTAGGGAAGGCAAGCACTTGCTGTATCTCTCTCACATTGATGTTTCTCTCTGTCTCCTTTTACTTCCTCCCTCTCTAAAGAAGCATAAAAAATAAAAGAATAAATACAAAGACATTTTTAGATAAAACCAAAGGTCCTAGCTGGTTTGGCTCAGTGGTTAGAGTGTGGGCCTACAGACGGAAGGGTCTCAGGTTCAATTCCTGGCAAGGGCACCTACCTCGGTTGCAGGCTCCAACGTGGCCTCTTTCTNCATAAAAAATAAAAGAATAAATACAAAGACATTTTTAGATAAAACCAAAGGTCCTAGCTGGTTTGGCTCAGTGGTTAGAGTGTGGCAAGGGCACCTACCTCGGTTGCAGGCTCCAACGTGGCCTCTTTCTACAGGAGACAACCAATCAGTGTGTCTCTCTCACGTTGGTGTTTCTCTCTCTCTCCCTTCCACTCTCTCTGATAAGCAATAGAAAAAATAACCTCCGGTGAGAATTAAAAAAAAGAAAGGAAACCAAGGTGTTGTCAGCCAACCTGAATGACCAAGAAAAAGCTGACAAGGTAGATCTTATATTTCTCAACACAGAAACACACAATAATAATAATGATGATAATAAAGAGGGTGGGAGAAAACTTTTGGAGATGATGGATCTGTTTATGGCATGTATTGTCGTGGTGGTTTCACGGTTCATCTCCAAACTCACCAAATCCTGCACATTAAATATATACAGCTTTTTGTTTGTCAATATTTAACGACTGCATTGGTATGAAGACGAATATAATCTACGCTGGGTTCATATTATCTATTTTTCTCTTCTGACTTTAACAGAAATTGACACATTTTTCCAGGTGCCCTGCAAGCGGAGAAGAGTCGGGCGTGGGA